CTCCTCCTTTTTGATGGTGTAGCATGGTCTTCTGGTGCGCCAGCTAACCGTTTCATTGCGTTTTCCATGGACGACAATAGCCGACAATACATCAGCAAGCACTTTGTCTGTACCCCGGTGCGAAGAATTCGCTGTCTCGTTTTCTTCAGAAAGTAAATTTTCTTCTACCAGTAAAAGGGGGTCCCTTCCACTCATATTTTCGGCAGTTACCTTGTTTTCTCAGTGTTGAGCAAACACCGTCCGACCTTCCCAAAAGGATCGTACACAACTGATCTTCCCAGGCTCGTGCGCCTTCTCACGTGACTCCGTAGCGACCAATGACGAAACAGAATTAAACATTTTTGTTGAGGTCAGAGTTACCAACATATAGATATATTTTTCGTCCGTGTTCGAATTTTCTCTTAAAACTGTTACGCGTTTTGCGTAAGCAGAAAGTCTACTCACCTTCATGGTTGCAGACACCTTTCACATTGATGGAATGAAAACCTTTCCTGTTGACATAATTATTTTCGTGTTGTGAGGGCGCAAAGTTGTTTTTTCTTCAAAATGATGGCGCTTGTAATAAAATTGGAAGTAAATTTAAAGATGAACGTTAAACCACTTCTTTCAACTCCCATCTTCCTCCATTCTTTTAAAGATTACCGGTTATTTGCAGGGAAAAGTTATGATCATCACCATCAACAAATAGTGCCACCATATGAAGGAGTTGAGGATGGATCAGGTGATCTATGAGCTTTGAAAAGAGCTCTTGGTCTCAATTGTTAACATTTTCTTCGGCCATTTTCGTATTTGGGTTCACGATTCTTTCTTCTCGCGCGCAAGCAAAAAAGGTTTCTCTTAACCAACGGAACCCCTAAGGAGATTCCTTTTAATTTTGAAGCCTTCCATACCCTCCAGTGTATTTGGCACGGTGTTTTCAAAGTGACATGGCTGCGAGTGAGCCAAAAAAAGCGACGCACATTTCCTTACGGCCTAGCCGAAAACAGCACGGTGCTTCTAAACGAATTTCTCTTAAAATGGGATCTGAGGGAAAAACGCGTATCGAAATACCAGGTGTATAAAACAAAATTCGTACAACTTTTAATGTTCGACGCTCCAGTTACGCAATATCGACCTCCTCAACTGACGTCACGAGAAAAGTCACATGGCTTCTTGGCTGAGCGTCCTTACGACTATTTTCAAGCCAAACTGGAGGTATTTTAGGGCGCAAAAGAGCAGCTCAAAACAAAATTTTAAATTGTTGCAACCTCAGAATAGTTTTTACACATATCGAAGAAACAAAAACCGAGGAAAAAGATTTCGTGTCATATACACTTAAAATTACGTTTGTTACAACAACAGATAACTGATGACCTCTGAACTCCTTGTCGTATGCTTAACACTGATAAGCAGTGCTTCTGTTTCGAGATAGATTTATCCTGCAGATCCTGCAAAACTCACGTTTTTCCGCCCGCGGAAATATTGTAGAACGAGTCAAGGAGGACTTCGCCAGGGTTTGACACTAGATCCCTTTCACACCTATAAAGGTATCATACTTTCCAGCGGGCGAAGAAACGCTCGTGGCGAAGAGCTAATAATGACTAGACCTCACAATATAGGTATGGTCTGTTTATGAGGCAAGTGACCCATCAAATCAGCGCCTAACTATTTCTACTTCCCTCCTGGATGGGATATTACTACATCGCAGGGTACCCATTTCATCACCTGGGTGAAGAGAGGCACCGTGAGAGTAAAGTGTCTTGCCTAAAAACACAACACAATGTCCCCAACCTGGGGTCGAAACCGGACCACTTGATCCGGATTCGTGCGCACTAGCCATAGGACCACCGCGGCTCCCCATCTACTAGTTAATAAATTAACAGTCTAAAACGAGCATTTAAGCAGTCACAACATTATATTAGTGCGAAATAGATTAAATTTAATGACAAGAATAAATAACTACCACTCAAACTCAGTAAGACTGGCAAACTATCTCGTTATATGAGACTTGTATAAATTATGCCAGTAAAAAAACTTACTGGTGGAAAAATCTAGCTGATATATAATTTTCAATTGATGACCGCTCTAACATGAAACTCACACAGAACTGTTGAGGGTTAGAGAAGACAACCTCACTCTAAATAACTTAACTTTGATGACGCGCTAAAGAAAGCGTTTGGTAAAAATACCTGGGACATCACGAACGATCGATTTCATAAAAGTCTCCTTTTATCATTGGTAACGGTAAAAAAGATATATAGAACTAGTTACGCACAATCAAGATTATCCTTGTAATTTCGCTTATAACGGACGGAAAAAGTGCAAAAAACCTGCTTTGAGTCATGGCAGCTATAACGTGTGGGTTGAAGAATCCCTTCGAGGCTTGGGCTGAAGAGCGCGATGATCTTCCAATTAAACTTTTTTTTTTATTTTCAACGGAGATCTTCTCAAACTCCTGACGCATTAACACTGTTACTTGTATTCCCCCCCCCCTCCCCTTTTTAACGTTATGGTCAGAAAAATCCTCAGGAAAACCTCGACAAGACTTAAATGAGGCAGAAAAAACGTTCTTAGCCGAAAATTCACGATCGGATTCCTAGTCTTAAATATTGGATAGAAGCTCATTTGTCCACATCACCATGTAACCCATTCAGCGGCCTCTCGGATGATTCTGTAAAAAAGAAAATCATACAGATTATCAGAAAAGAGATCTGATGCAGAATACAAGCAATTTCTAGAGGCAATAATTGCCTCCCGCTTCTTTTTTTTGGGGGGGAGGAGCTTTATAGAAGATCTACGCCGAGATATTGTCTAAATTCCTGGTTATTAGTCCTGGTGACGATAGGTATTCAAAGCGAGGACAATTTAAAGTGCAAAACATACTCAGTCTTTTACAGTGGAGACCGTGTCCGGTTTGAGAGTCGACGTAGTAACAAGGCTAGCGTTTAAGTTAAGGAATGCTCACGGAAATTGAGCTATAATTAAAGAAGTCGCAGAAAGAAGCTGAAAAAATTCAGGTTTGACTAAGGAGATTCGAACCCGTGCCTCCTGCATACTGGTTACGAAGCCACAAGTTGAGAGCTAGCCTTGAGGCAAACTCTAGTGAAGTCTTCGTACCCCTAAGGAAATCTGACCAAAATTAAACGAAATCACGTATCATCCTCTAGTCAAAATATAATTAATTTCAATTCATTTCAAGGGCCATACATTGTGTATTCTTTGTGTAAAAATGGGTTATATGCAACATTGAGAATTACCTGGCTCGTGCAAGGCCTCGGGATCACCAGCAAGTTCTGAATGATAAAAACAAAAACAAAAACAAAATATTTGAAAATGGCATATGAAATGAAAGGATAAGTATCTCGCACTGGAGCTCGATTGAAGTACAATATGGTCTAAGCTGTCAAATTTGCTAAATTTCCTCTGGCTGTCAATCAAAGTACAGTGGCCAACCCTATCTGAACTGTGTCTTGGTGGGGTTGTTTACGTTTATGACCACACAAACTGAGATCAAACAAAACTATTTACGGTAGCCCCTTTTTGGGAAACGATTTTGCGCAAATTAATTTCCAGTTGTGGTTCATGAAAGAGATTCATTATAACAGTCTTTGCTTCGTTTCGTTTGGTTTGATCTTTCTGTTAGCACTGTAATCCTGGGCTCGTTTGTGTTGACCGCACCACAAGGCGCGAGATCAGCGCAAGTATAAACAGTGAAGCTAAGAATTTTGCGCAAACAAATTTTCGCTGTAGCTCGTGAGAGTGATTCAGTACAGCAATGTTTTGTTCTCTTCTTCTTCTGGTACTACCAAAAGCTACAAGTGTTACCTGCTAATCCGTCTAGGTGTGCAATGACACCAGAGGAAGCCTGATTGCGGCTTTGTTCTTCCGCAATTCGAGCCTGTAAATCTGCCTGGTAAACCCACATAACAAAGCGTAGAATGTTTTAGAATATAGACCTTCCTGCTTTACATTGAAAAAAAAAAACTGCTTCGTGTGACAACATGGTTAGGCCTGCATGAATTACTACAACTCAAAACAGACCAAACGAAGGCATAACTGCCTTTTTAACTACAACATGATGGCAGAAATGCAACTGTAGTAACTGCAACACGATGGCAGATAAAAATTACGCTAAAAACAAACAAAGAAGAAGAAAAAGCGAAACAAATTCAGAATTGGAAATCAATCATTTCCCCAAGCCTTCTTTCCAAAGTGGCACACAACTTGCATTCCAGGGCGGGACAGGAGATTGCAAGTATAACCAATATTTTCATTACCGCCTTCCATCTCCTACGGTTCAGCTGACAATTAATTATAGCATTACTCTCCGAACAACTGCAAGCAGGGTTGCAGTTATGGCAATAGTCTGCCTTTAAGAATAGAAGTAAGCCGCCCGAACGAACGAGAGACCTTCTAACAAAATTTGGCTCCCAATACTTCGCAACCTCTTCACAGTGTGCCGCAAGACAAAGAAAGAGGACACGGCAAGCGAATATCCTTTGCCAAGTTATCACAGACAAAAATCCAGCCGGCGATCACCTCTTTCTCAGCCAGCAAATTTAGCCTGCAGCCAGCACTTATGGGAAGTGTCCTGATTATTAAGCTAAATATAGCGTCTTCGCACTGATTACCTCTGTCAATCCCGTAAGTTTGGTCGGAAGGTCATCTATGGAGACTTCACCATCATCTTGACCGTTAGTAATCTGGAACAAAACATAAGGGAGACGTCAGACAAACATCGGCACAGGATGATACAAGGGTAACCCGAGAAAAGTGGAACATTAAAAGCAACGTAAAATGAAAAAGGGGATAAAAGAAAAGCTGCATCGGTGGGGTTATTAGAAGACAGTTTGGTTTTATCAACCGAGTTGATAATGTAAATAGGCTGCCGTAAATAGCAGTTACTTTATTTCTTTCTTCAAAATTCTAAGTAGCGTGTCGAATTCGTCTATACACAATCGGTAAAATAAAGAAGTGGCTCTATGGTCATAACGGTCATAAATGTAAACTGTACTTTTTTAGACATCCATTTATTTAGACATTTAAGAATAAATATTAGCGAGAAAAACACACAACGTTTCGATGACTCCATGTCATTATTCTCAAGTGAGAAGAGAATAAAAAATGAATAGCTAATTTATACCGTACGAAGGTGACAAACGTAAAAAGTT